CCACCATCTTCTTCTTCTTCCTATGTAAAATAACATTTCAATACCCTGCCTAATAACTCCCTTTCCCACCGGGCCCCACAAAATATCCACTAAGAATACACACACACACACACATACATACATACACCAATCGCCACTACCATCCGCGGTGGTAGAGATGCTCCGGGGTGCCGGTGAGCATAAACGTGAGGTGCCGGAAAAAGTCCTGCCTGTCACTACCCCAGAACAGATTACGCCGTTCATCCGGGGTCATAGTACGAAACTGCCCAACCGTCGGATTGTTATTGATGCGTACAAAGGCGAGTTCCCGCATATAGCTCATGTCGTCAAATCCCCACTTACGGGCCTCCGTACGAACAGCAAACTCCAGCGGGTCCTCATCCAAGTACTCAATTTCAATAGGTGGCGGCGTGATAGGGAAGTGGAGGTCACGCTTCGACTTTGCCAAACACAGGCAAGCCACGTTTGGAAAAACACGGCGCATCACTTTTTCTCTTATTTATATAAATTCTTTAAAGGCAACTAAAAACTCTAATGAACACGATAACAAAACCACACACACATTAAAAAAAAAAAAAAAGAAAAAAAAAAAAAAGAGGAGAAACAAAACAAAAAAAAAAAAATAAAGTGAAGAGCACGAAAAAAATCCTTTTTTTTTTTCACTGCCGTACATGATCGGGCGTTCGTCGTCTTGTGCAAACCAAAAACTTGTCATGTATGCAGTGATCGACGAAAAGGAGCCGTACGTGAAGTTGTTGTAAAGTATTGACCACACACTCCGATCGCGGAAAGCCACGCCGTCGTATTTTTCCACGTGCGCAACGTAGGCGGTGCGGAACGCGCTGTCGCGGTGCACCAGCCACCCGCCGGCACCGACCGTCCCACCGTCGCAGCGCACCAGCGGCGACGCAGGAGACCCCTCGACGCCCACGAAGCGCAGCACCGAATCAAACACCGCGAGGCGCTCGCCAAGCACAATGCCGCCGCCGCTGCTCACAACCGACACGTTCGTCACGGAGAACACCGAGTGGCTACGCAGACTGAGACGCGACGAGGACGACACATGCATCGCGGACGCGGTCGGACCGCCCGACGCCTCCAGCAACACGCCGTCAAGCACCATCGCGCTCGACAGCAGGTCCACACCGCCGCCAACGTACACCGCCGTCCCGCCCGCCTGCGACGACCTCAGCACAGTGCTGCTCACACGCAGCTGCGACTGCAACAGCGACATCGCGTGCAGCACAAGCGGCGACGCCACCGCGTCCGTCAGCCCGCTCAGCTGCGAGTAGCGCATCGGCCCCGCCGTCACAATCGTCGAGTCACGGACCGTCACGTTCGTGCGTGCCGGCAGGTTGTGCACAAACACGAGCGAGCAGTAGCTCCCCGACAGCCCGCTCACGCTAACCTCCAGGCTCCGGTCACTCGCCGGCTCGCCGCTGTAGCCCCGCACGTAGATCTGCGCACCGCCGTCGCACACGCAGTTCCTCAGTTCGATGCGCAGCGCGCCGGGAAGCATCGCCGCAACGTCGAACACCACAGCCACGCCGTTCGTGATGCACACGCCGTCCATCAGCACCGTGTCCACGGCGCGGCCAACCGTGATGGCTCTCTCCACCGTGCCGCCCCGCAGTCGCAACGGCACCGCATGCACCGCGGGCATCCACACAGCAGCAGCAGCAACCAGCGCCAACACAACGAGCAGCGCCGCACGCACAGTCGCAACGGCCCTGTGCCGCACGCGGTGCCGGCTGCGCGGACACGCACCCACCGCAGACCACATCCACCAACCCAACCAGGTATCAACAGGGCTGTCGTGGTGTGTCGCACTCGTCTCGTCGACCGTGCCTCCTGCTCCGCAAATCCCTTCCTACAGATGCCAAATACAGTGACCCGATTCCGCCAGGTCGTTATCCCACTGCTACTTCTACTAATAATACTACTACTACTGCTGCGAGTAATTACTAAAACCTTGAAACGCTAGTTGTGGTGGTCAAGCCACAGTATCTCTATCTGCACGGTAAAACAAGGAAGAGGCAGCAGCAACAGTAACCAGACACAGTAGGACGCAGCGGCATCCGGCCACACAAATTCCACATCACAGCCAGCGACAAAAAGACGCGCAGACGCAGTCAGCCCAGTGATGCCATCGGGCTCCCACCGCCCTCCTCACCAAATGCCTCAACACATGACGACCCCGATGCCGTGGACAACACGCAAAAGCGAGGCAGATACACGTGGCAC